TATAACGCCCTCCACGCCGGACGGCGTCTCAGAGCGCTTCACAGTAACGGATCTCTGGCCGAGCCAGGGGGAGGGGGAGGAAGGTGACCAAAGGCGCGGTCGAAAAGAAAGGTCTTCAGCAGAGACCTGAAAATAGGAAGGGGGCGAGGTGAAGGAAGTGAGGAAGGGAGTTCCAGAGCCTCGGGGTGTAGTGGCTGAAGGCACGGCCGCCGAGGGTGGAGCGGAAGACCCGGGAGTCAAGGAGGAGGCCAGACCCGGAGGAACGAAGGCAACAGGCACTGTTTTGAGGAGAGAGGTCAGAGAGGTAGGGAGTGCAGAGGAGTGCAGGGATTTGAAGACTAAGGGTGAGGATCTTGAAGTCGATCCTCTCTGGGATAGGCAGCCAGTGCAGTCTGGCAAGGACTGGGGTGATCAGGGAGCGGAGTTTGTGCGGGTGAGGACGCGGGCGGCAGAGTTTTGAATAATCTGGATTTTGTGGATGGTAGTGGAGGGGAGGCTGGCGAGGAGGGCGTTAGAGTAGTCCAGCCGAGAGGTGACAAAGGCATGGACCAGGGTTTCAGTGGCTTTCGGAGAGAGGTATTGGCGGAGACGGGTGACACGTTGGAGGTGGAAGAAGGCCGTGCTGGTGAGGGACCAGATGTGGGGGAGGAAGGATAATTAGGGGTCGTCCTCTCCATGTGACGTCTGTGTGTTACAATTGCCTTCTGCTGAAAACATCTACATCAAATGCAGGGACTATTCATTATTTAAGACTAAAGTTAAGAATTTTCCACAATTCTGTGCAATCCTACATACAAGGCTGATACTGGGTGGAATTTGGGACCAAATAATGGGGATGAGCACTTTCAGCATTTTTGGGCTGAAATCTCGATTGCTGCCTTGCAACAAACATATGAGGTGCTCTTTCTGATTGTTTAAGAAGATTGGGTTTTAATGTACCTCCAGGTGTGCTCTTCTGGCTCAATTAAATAATGTTCCTTACACACACACTCATTTGTCAGTAAACTAATGTATATCTGTGTGCAATTGGCTGCCAGTTTCACCCACAAATATACAGTCAATTCACTTTACAGTATAATCTGAAATGATTTGAGACATCTAGAAGACATGAAAAGCGCTATATCAAATGCAAGGATTATTATTATATGCATTATCAATAAATATATATAATGTGGTCCTGAATAGTCTGGGATCTTATTACAAACATTTTATTTCAGATTTTCATTTCTGACCAATTTCCTCCCTCCTCTTTCTCTTCTGAAGGCACTGGCTCTTTTATAGGGTACAATATGGTCCAAGGATCTCCAGGGCCTCACCTAATAGCCACTCTTCATGTATGAGTCTAGATAATGAGTGTCATTAGGTTATTTCGCCAGGGAAGGAAGGAATGTTGTCACAATCAAATTTCAACCTCTCATCTCAACATTTACACACATGCACTTTCCAGCTAAGCTCAGTCAGTGAACAGTTGCTAGCAGTGGGATCCTTAACTGAATGTTTCCCCGCCATAGACCAGAGGACGCAGAGGCCAATTGTAACACACAGACTGCTTCCAAACTGAAATTCGAACCTGCAGCCCCCTGATGCATATAGCTTGGTGCCTGGTGCCTTTACCTTCCAAGCCATTGAGCAATCTTCCAGTATTATCTTTCTGTCAGTCACAGGATGGAATATTGTACATTTGCTCGCCTTTGTGCCATTACAGGATAGGAGTTCCCTTGTGCAAGGAATGCAGACAGCTTAAGATATACCTCTAGGAATCGACAGCGCTTTGGGAAACTGTGCACAGTGTGTTAAAAAAACAAAAGTTGTCAGGAGTGAAAGAAACTTCCACAATCTCAGGGTAAGGACGAAAGCTAGAAGGAGACAAAGCTTTGATGGTTTAGAATGCTATCTGAGCCCACCTGCTTGAGAGCCTTGCAGCTCCCTCCCACCTATTAGTCTGCATTTAATATGAGGTCGCAGAGCTGCACTTCAATAGAATATTAAATCAAAGAACATCAGGCAGATCAGGAAACACGAGGAAGGTCACTTACATTGACTTTATCCTCGATTTTTTGTTTTTCATACATAAGGTAAAAAAAACAATGAGTGGAACAATGAGGTTAGACTGCTCAAATAGGCAAAAGATAATATTATTAATCCACCTGGGGCGAGTCAGGGGACTACGTCTGAGGTTTGTCTGCTTTCATTGAATGACATTTAACCTCAAAGAGCTCCAGCACTTCTGTGCCCAGCAATTGTTTGTACTTGTATCCCATACCGTATCGAAAGTCTCTCACTTCTCTCTGTCTGGCAGTCTCACATTCCTCATTTATATTAAATGGATGTCAATTTCCTGTAACATTCAGTATATAGTATGTATAGTCCAGCGGTAGAACAGCAATTTACATTGAAGCCATTGACTTTGGGAAGTTGTCTCAAAGGGCCTCACGCAGTCTTCTGGGAGCTCTAGCTGGTGGCGGGGGCAAAATGGCTGAAAGCTCACCGACTGATGGTGGAGAGGATCGGACGGGGGACCTGAATTAGGCCGCTTCTTGCCAAATAGTGGACGCAGCAGGTCACAGAGGTTGAGTGTTTTGAGGCCGAGGAGGGCTTTGAAAGTGAGGTCAAGGATCTTGTCGATAAGAGTTTATTTCAGAACAGTGACATTGTCACTGCGTTCAGACAATAGTGTTGATCATGTCAATTGAAGATCTCGAATGCATTAATACCACAAAGCACTCATGCCTGGTGTATTACCCTAATGTGATATGTCAACACAAGCTTCCACTTTATCCCTGCAGGCTGAAGGTGCCTCGATTTCCAATGGACCAGCAATGTTTTTTGTATCCTGTGGGATTGCTGCTGGATCAGATATCCTACTGCCTTATTTTTCCCTACAACGGAGAAAGGTCACCTAAAACGATTATAGGTGCAGCCAAGGGAATTAAGAGTTCTGTGGGAAATCAAATTTGGTTTGTAATTTCCATCCAGCATTTCCGACCAATCCCACAGGAATTGAGGAATCCCTGAGCTATGACACCGCTCTAGCATATTAGAGATCCAGTTAGTCTTGAAGTACTTCATCTTAAATGGAATGGAAATACAACTGTACTGACCAATATGAAACCCACCCATTAGCACTTTATATTCACCTATACATCACTTCTTTAGCACCTGCTTACAGAGATAGTATACTCTGGTTATGGATTTCCGTTTGTATACAGTAGCAGGAAACAGTTGCAAGAAGTGCAAGTTATTGACCTTATTTTGAAGCAGTGGAATACAGTGTGTGCAATTCACTCAGCGGACCTAGGGATGGTGCGAAAACAGAACAGCGACTGTAGTCTCATACATTTCATGTGCTGGATGGCTGATGGATCGAGTCTAGAAGATGACTAGATCCATTCAGCATGATTTTCCAGTCGGTCTCAGGCTATCCTTGAAATCTAAAGAACTCTGAATCTAATACAATCAATTCCAGTGATTTCTCCCCTTTTTTCCCCAATTTACTCCTCTTCTGAGAGATAACTCGCAGTTTCACAGTACCCAGCAGTTCTCCAGCCGACCACTTTGTCCAAATGTTTTTTCTTCAAGCATTACGTTTGGCAGTAAATGTGAATTTGAGGCTATCAAAGCCTTGTGCATGTACACACGTTAAAGGGTTTTTTCATACCTCTGAGGGTGGGCATCATCCTACCGATATGTGTTACACGTGCTCAGTTGGTAGCACTCTTGCCTTTGAGTAATTTGAGGGTTCAAGCCCCACGTCGGTACTTTGTAACTCGTGTATACCAGGCTGACACTCCAGTGCGGTAAGCTGCTACATTTTCAGAGACCCCATCTGCCTGTTCAGGCTGACTTTAAAGATCCTATTGCATCACTCACAAAGAGAAGAGTTTCTCCCAGTGTTGTGCTCAACAATACCCCAAATAAAAACTTATCATTCACTTTATGGTTGTTTGTGGAACACTGCTGTGTCACATTGACCCTTGTGGTTTCTGACAAATTCAACAACAAAATGACATTTGTAAAGTGCTTTTCATGTCAGGAGGATGTTCCAAGATGCTGAACAGTCGGGACCCGAGTGTGGGGGGGCAGGGTTGGGATGAGGAAGGGCAGAGGGAGTAGGAGGGCGGTTGAAGGCACTATCGAAAAGGGGGTGGGGGGGTCTTGAGTCGTGCCTTGAAGGAGGCAAGGGAGGGAGTGAGGCGAAGGGATTGTGGGATGGAGTTGTAAAGGGTGGGGGCAGAGACTGAAAGCTCGGCCGCCAATAGTAGGGCAGATCGGGCGGGATTGGAGCAGACCAGAGCCTGCTGAACAGAGGGAGTAGACAGGTTGATAGGGGGTTAGCAGGTCAGGGAGGTAGGAGGGGGCAAGGCCGTGGAGGGCCTTGAAAGTGAGAACGAGGATTTTGAATTGTATCCTCTGAGGGATGGGGAGCCAGTGGAGCCAGGGGAGGGTGGGGGTGATGGGGTCAAATGCAATCACTACACTTCACTGTAAATCCTGTGACGTGCTTTTAGACGTCTTCCTGACGTGACAGGCACTTTATCAAATGTAAGGATTATTATTAGTGAATCTACACCCCAATTGCTTGCTCCATGGGCTCTGATAATCTGATAACAAGGGACACAAACCTACACACAGTACTCCAGCTGCAGCCTACTCAATTCTTTGTAGATTTAACATGACCACATGTGTGCTTTCCAGCAGGGGACACTGAATAGTGATCAGAAGTGGGAAGCATGGCTGACTATTTATCTTTCTAGCCCTAGGCTAATTGTAGAACCACCACAGCTGAGATCAGCTAAAACGGCAAAGCTACCATGGATCAAATCTTTCTCATCTTTGGCTCAGAATCACCCAACACAGCAGTACTTTCAATAAATAAGGTATTCAATTAAACTTTGTGGAAGTAAAAAAACACAATTAATCCATGAAGAAGAATGCAAGAGGCATGGACAGATTAGGGATGTGGGTGTATATGTGGTAAATGAAGTTTAACTACAGGTACATTATGGGGAAAACATGAAACAGAAATATCCCTTTAATGGTAAAATTATCTAGGAGAGTGGAGGAACAGAGGAAGCTGGGGAAATAGATACACAGATCAAGAAAAGCTAGACTGCAGATGAAAAACATAATAAAAAAGAGCAAATGTGCTTATTCGCATCGTCTTTCACAGAAAGCTGTCAATAGGGGGTGCAAGACGTTGCTGTATGTTCTCACCAGTGGGGGCAGATCCATGGGCAAACCACATTTTTACCAATCCAGCTTTCTGCCTTAATAACTAAAATGCTCTGTCACCACTGTGCAATGTGCTAACACATTGTAACCAATGGGCTATACTGATGGTACAATAATAAGCATCAGGTTCCTGAGAACTGCACAGTTGACCTTAGCATTATCTTGGTTAGTACTTCCAATGAATGTGGCATCTAGCTTAAATAAAGTTTTCCTGACTCGAATGCTAAATATTGCTCTTTTAATATAATTTAGTACAAATCATGCACTTATTAAAAAAATCAAAACTATCCAACTGTATGAAGCACTTTCAAACCCAGTCATTAGAGTAGTACAATAATGCAATTCAAATTTGAAGCTAATAGTCACAAAGATATTTACAGCACATTAAACATTTAGATATCAGCAGCACATCTTCCTTCAGTTCTACTGATGGGATATAAATTGCAGTAGATTTATAATTGCAGTATTTCACATGGTATTTTAGGGTTAGGGAATGGAGGGGAATGGGAGAGGGGATTAGGAGCGGTGGAGGCTCATGTGGAGTATAAACATGAGCTTGTTTGGCCGAAATGCCTATTTCCATCCTTCCATGTAATAATGGATTCCTTAACAAGAGATCAAAGACATGCAAACGGACTCCTTCCAGAAGTAGGTCATGCCGATGCCCAGGAACAATCTATTTTTGGAGCCAAGTTCTTGTAGATACACATAATTCAATAAAGAAATACCACAAATTATATCTCGATATTTTTCACACTCAGTTCTCCAGTGCAACTAATTCCAGCCAGGACGAGGACTTTGAGGTCCAGACCATCTAAAAAAAAATCAACGCATAACGTAACAGTTAATAATAATAATAATTTGGTCGCTCCAACCACGGCTGTTTGTGGGACACTGCTGTGCGCAATTGGCTGCTTCGGTTTGCCCACATCCAACAGTTATTAAATGTTGCACTGACATTTCAACAGCATTTGGTATTTGTCCAAAATCAACTTAAATCGCATAACTTTTTTTGGAAAGCACATTTTCTATTATCCACATTTGTGATATAGTGTCTGTGTGTATGTGTTGTCTGTGTGTGTATAGGTGTGTGCCTGTAATAACCTTATAACATACAGCACAAAATGCGTGTCTTCTGTATGTTCAGCTTAACAGAACGGGACGCTGCCTCTCTTATAAAAGCAACCGGACTGACCGTGGAGCGAGCTGCAGCCTCTTGTTCCGGGGTCCCATTTGTGGTTGTGATCCTCTCCCTGGAAAGGCAGCATTGAAGCATATTTTATGTAACCAACACTCATTTCCATGTTTTACTATTTCCTTTTTAAATCTTTCTTTTGATCAGTCCACCCAGTAAATGCTATTTCATTACTAGAGAAGCTCCAACAATAAGTCTGACTATGCTGCCCTCACTGAACAACAACAACGAGTACATTTGTATAGTGCCTTTCACGTCGGGAGGACGTCCCAAGGCGCTGGACAGTGTACAGCACTTCAGACCCAAGCTGGGGTCAGGAGGGGAGAAGGGAGGGGAGGGGTCGATGGCATGGTTGAAGAGGAGGGTCTTGAGGCGGGACTTGAAGGAGGCTAAGGAGGGGGTGAGGCGGAGTGATTGGGGGATGAAATTCCAGAGGTTGGGGGCAGAGTGGCTGAAGGCTCTTCCGCCAATGGTGGGGCGGCTGGGTCGGGGGACGTGGAGCAGGCCAGAGCCGGCTGAGCGGAGAGAGCGGGTGGGTTGGTAGGGGGTTAGGAGGTCGCAGAGATTGGGTGGGGCAAGGCCATGGAGGACTTTGTAGGTGAGGACAGGATTTTGAACTGGATCCTCTAACGAATAGGGAGCCTATGGAGTCGGGCGAGAATGGAGGAGATGGGGTCACGGAGTTTGGTGCGGGAGAGGACACGGGCTGCAGAGTTCTGGATTACCTGCAGCCTGTGGAGGGAGGAGTTAGGAAGGCCAACAAGCAGGGCGTTTGCATAGTCGAGCCTGGAGGTGATGAAGGCATGAACAAGAGTTTCAGCGGCCTGAGGGGTGAGGTAGTGGCAGAGTTGGGCTATGTTACAGAGGTGAGGGAAGGCAGAGCGGGTCATGGCTTGGATGTGGGGAAAAGACAGATGAGGGTCGAACAAGACACCGAGGTTCCTGACTGGTTTGGTGAGTTGAAGTGTGCAACCATGGAGGTTGATGCTGCCAGAGCCTGAGGTGCTGAGGCGCTGGCGAGAGCCAATCAGGAGGGCCTCAGTCTTGTTCACAATCAACTGTAGAAAATTTGTCCTCCTCGAGGACTTGATGTCCGACAGGCAGTCTGTCAGGAGAGCAGTGGTCCTGGAGTTGAGGGTGGAGGCAGAAAGATAGAGTTGGGTGTCATCCACATACATATGTAAGTTGACCCCATATCTGCGGATGATGTCACCAAGGGGGAGACTGTAGATATTAAAGCGGAGAGGGCCAAGGACAGAGCCCTGGGGGACGCCAGACGTGACAGTGCGGGGGCTGGAGGAGAAACCGTTAGAAGCAACAAAGTGGAAACAGTGAGAGAGATAGGAATCGAACCAGGCAAGGGCAGGTCCGCGAAGATTAAGTAAAGAGGAGAGGATGAGGATGGAATGGTCGACAGTGTCGAAGGCGGCAGAGAGGTTGAGGAGGACAAGGAGGCAGAGGGAGCCCTGATCACAGATGTTCAGAATGTCATTAGTGACTTTGACCAGGGCTGTTTCCGTGCTGTGGGCAGTGCGGAAGCCGGATTGGAGGGGTTCAAAGAGAGAATGGCGAGAAAGAAAGGAGCGGAGCTGGGACGTGACAACTGGTTCCAGGACCCTGGAGAGGAATGGGAGGTTAGAGATGGGGCAGTAGCTGGAGAGGAGAGATGGGTCCAGGGAAGGTTTTTTCAAGATGGGAGTGATGACAGCTGTATTAACCACCTATTTTTTAAATCACATTTTTTTCAACAGAATTTACATGTTTTAGAGATATCTCGGAATGTCTCATACACATCGCAAAAGGGATGATCACAAGAAAGCCTGCTTTCATAAATACAGGCCGTTCCCATTAGAACATGGTGGTTTGGGTGCACAAATTTAGACTCCAAGATTATAATTTGCTAAAAAAAACACCACTGGTCAGCACTTCAGATCATCAGATTATCAAAGACATCACTTCCTGTGTGAAGTCACGTCTGTGACCCTTTCTGCGTACACCTCCAGAATGTCAGCCAGTCAGTATCAGAATCTGGAAGTGTACTGCTTGGTCCAATTGTGTTACAAGTGGACCCATACTATACAGTGCACGTTATAACTGAGTAGGAGTCAGATCCACAAGTGCTGTAACTTTATATAAGACCATACCTGTTTTTCCTGGATCAGAAGTACCAGGCCAGGGACATCTGCCCTGGTAACCTGGGTGATGGGTTGAATATCGGGAAGAGTGGCTCTCCCTCTGTCCAAGCTGGAACGGCTGATGGACATCGCTACTGTGGGGATTAAGCCCTTCAAAAGTTCCTATCAATATGAACAGAATTGGGTGAGAGGAATTGCCAGTTTCAGACATAGGAGTAGAAATCCACCTGGGTCTAGACACATTATATTTTCTTAGCACTTCAGAGCGCCCAAAATTTGGAAAATTCTTAAATCCATCTTTAATTCTAAAGCCCTTTATTTGCAAATACTTTTAAGAACGTCTTTGAAGACAAGATTGAATTCAACAATTTGCCAAATTCTGCACTCTCTGAGCTGACAAGGACTTTGGAGTAAATCTAAAACAAGATGGGATTTCTCCCCAAGAAATTGCCCATAAAATCACAAGCTTGTGAATTCTACTCTGAATCCTAAACTTATATAATAATAATAATAATAATCCTTGCATTTGATATAGCGCTTTTCACGTCGGGAGGACGTCCCAAAGCGCTTCACAGAACACACTGTAAAGTGAATTGACTGTATATTTGTGGGCGAACGCGGCAGCCAATTGCACACAGCAATGTCCCACAAACAGTCGTAGATTGAAAATGACCAATTTTTTTTTATTATTGTTTTTTGGTTTTTTTGGCGGGATTGTTATTATCTTGTTGATACTCGTCAACAAGGTGATGTCTCACCACTATATATATATATGTACATATATATATATACATATATATATATATGGTCTAGAACTGCAGCAGCATTTACCCACTATTGGAGGAGTTATGGATTATTATTTCTAAGTGTTACACAAGGCATCATAAAAACAGGAGATTACTGCAGATGCTCTTATAGGATTTAGAAAGGGATCAAGACATCGACTACCTCCTTAAGTCAATATGTTAATTATTGCAGGGCTTTCATTTTTTATTCCAATTAAAACAAATGGTTTCACTTTCATCAGTGTTTGAAAATGGAATGGAAGAATTCAGAATGCTCGGTTCCCTTTAGGAATGTTCCTGAAATCTCCAGGTGAGAAGCCTCCCATCTCTGTAGTTGGATGAGATGAATACTTTTTGTACAAACCTATGCAATAAGAACTTAAATTATCCAGTATTCCATCCCATCTCTGTCATGCACAATGTGGAAGCAACGAATAATAATCAAAAGTGAACACTTGGCGCTGGTCACTAACCGGGTCCATGAGGTCGTGGCTTGCTCTGTATTGTCCTCTTCTTCTGTTCACAAGTGGTTCTCAGGAGGAGCCTCAGCTCCTGAAAACGCTGAATCTGACTCTCCTAAAACCAGGAACAAATTCACAGCAGTTAATTCCCAGAAAAAATACTCCAAGACTAACCTTCAGGAATGCTACAAATGGTTCATTTTGTGGCGATCTTCAGATGACTGCTAAATCAATGCAACAAGAATAACAAAATTGCATTTGTAAAGCGCCTTTCATGTCGGAAGGATGTCCCAAGGAGCTGGACAGCCAGAGTTTTGGACCCGAGCTGGGGGTTGGGATTGGGGAGGGTGGAGGGCGGGGGGTGGGGTGGGGGAAGCAGGGTGATCGAAAGCACAGTTGAAGAGGAGGGTTTTGAGATGGGTCTTGAAGGAGGCAAGGGAGGGGCGAGGTGGAGGGACTGTGGGATGGAGTTCCAGAGGATGGGGGCAGTGGTTGAAGGCCCATCTGCCAATGGTGGGGCGGGCAAGGCGGGGGACATGAAACAGGCCCACTGAGCAGAGGGAGCAGGCAGGATGGTGGGGGGTTAGGAGGTCACAGAGGTAGGGGGGAGCAAGACCATGGAGGGCCTTCAAGGTGAGGACCAGGATCTTGAACTGTACCCTCTGTGTGATGGAAAGCCAATGGAGTCGGGCGAGGATGGGGGTAATAGGGTCACGGAGTCTGGTGCGGGAAAGGACATGGACTACAGAGTTCTGGATGATCTGCAGCCTCTGGAGGGAGGAGTTGGGGAGGCTGACAAGCAAGGAGTTTGCATAGTCAAGCCTCAATGTTATAATGCGTGTATGAGGGTATCGGCGGTCTGCAGTGTGAGATAGTGTCGGAACCGGGCGATGTTGCAGAGGTGGGGGAAGGCAGAGCGAGTCATGGCGCAGATGTGGGGTAGAAAAGATAGTTGAGGGTCAAACAAAATGCCAAGGTTCCGGACTGGCTTAGCAAGGTGGAGTGTGCAACCATGGCTCAGGTGCCCAGCAGTGTGAAGGACTTTGAGACGTCCGACTGAAGGGTGCTATATAAATGTGTGCTGTATTGTAAAACATACACTGCAGCTAATATTTTTTTTAATGAGATTAAATAGGATTTGAACGCGACTACTAAAATAATACACAATAGTAACTAGGCAAGAGCATATTCCTTTGAAGGCAGCAAGACAGGAATATGGTGTTGAAAGGGTAAGAGATGGACAAGACTGCCGAACGAGGCAGTAACACACCAAGGAGCAGTGTTGCTATCAGAGTGAGAAGAAAGCTGTGCAGCGTATCAGCATTATCTCATTCTAAAGATGAATCCGTGATTTCCAATACATTCCTATAGATTTAATAAAAATGCTTTCAATTCATAAAAATACTTCCTGATAAAGTTAACAAAATCACAGATGTTCCAATGCACACAAATGAACGGAATTTCAAATAATTATAGAAATTACAGCACAGGATGAGGTCATCGGCTCTATCAAAACTAAGACGGTAACACCCCAACCCCCACCTGACTGCAATCTTATCCCCCCCGAATGACCGAAGTCTGCCCCCACCCCACAGTGATCCAATCGCCTCCTATCCCACACTGACCGCAATCTCCCCCCACCCCACAATGAGCAGTCTCCCACACCCCACACTGACCGTAGTCTTCCCCACCTTACACTCACCATAGTCTCCCCTATCTCACACTGACTGTAGTCTCCCCCACCTCACACTGACTGTAGTCTCCCCCACCCCACACTAACCCCAGTCTCCCCAACCCCACACTGACCGCAGTCTCCCCCACCCCACACTGACCGCAGTCTCCCCCACCCCACACTGACCGCAGTCTCCCCCACCCCACACTGACCGCAGTCTCCCCCACCCCACACTGACCGCAGTCTCCCCCACCCCACATTGACTGCAATATCGACCCCATGACAAGTAAAGTAGCTTATGTGGCTGTAGTATATGCATCAAATGGAGATGTATATGCCAGCAGACATGTATGCAAAGACTGACCTTGAAAAACCCAAATTAATCACCTTCTGTTCCGATACCTGGTCCTGTCCTCTCTGTTACCAGATGGTATTTGCCTTGTAAAATAAACCTCTACAAACCTAGATCATTAGTTGGGAATCACCTCAAGCATGTACGCTCCATCTGTATACCTACCTTCTTCTCTAGAAGCTCCTCCATTGTACATTGACTGTGAGACTGCAGGTACTTCACGTGGAAAAGCTTCCCATCAAACACCTCCCACGGCATCAGATCAACCATTTTAAATGGAAATCCACAGGCACTATTAGCTGAAACAAGGACGGTTAGCCCACGAACAAAGAGGGATGCCAGGTGCACAGCCCGAGAGTCAACACGGGGCACCTGAAAAAGAAAGCCAAAGATTAATGGTGTACAATGACGGCAAATTATTCACTGACTGCACTAACTGTGTGAAACAGCGGTTGTCAGTAAGGGGGTCCATCTGGTACCATCTATACTAGCAGAATAGTCAAAATAGGCTAAGCAGCATAACCAACAGATCAAGTGAAACAATTCAGAAAGAAGTTTTTACCAAAGCTTGCTTTGAACAAGTTAAAAATCAACACTGTTTGTCAAGGGTCGCAGGGTTTTGCTTCCTTGATTAATTCCTTGTGTGTGTCTCTAACCCATCTCGAGAAATGAGTTTTGAAATGATAGTGGGCAGAATTACGCAACTTTAAGACCGTAAACGAATTCATCCCGGACAGAATAAAAGATCTTTGTTCAGTAATAAACTGTTGCAAAATCCCCAGAAATTATTCACAATAATTTCCCTAATGGTTATCATGGTGTAACTGCAATTTTTAGCACTGTATTTGTATGAAAAAATATAATGCAGTGATTTTCCACAATTTCCACAATTGAACACTTTCCCAGCCTTGATATGTTTCAATGTAAAGCTCTGACACAGACAGTACTATTACTAACTAAAGCGCAAATCTAATTCTTCGGATAGTTTATGACATTTGATTTCTTCATGGATTTGTTCCCCTGAGAGCAACAGGAAATGAAAAAACACATTTTTATAAGTCACACAGAAGTACTAGGGTCTTTTTGGAGTTTGCCTGGTGTACCACTCTACAAAACCAGTCAGGGCTCCCATTCCAGCATAAATTCTCCATTTGGCTTGGAAGGCCACAGTAGACAGGCATCTTAACATCTGCTCTTTGCTACCGGCAAAGGTTACAACACAGAAACAGCTCACCTTATAAGTATGAATTATTCTTTATTGAGGGTCTGTACTAAAGCTGCAGCAGTTGATTGGGGGTTGGAGGGGATAGATAATAAAGAAGATCTATTGTTAGCGGTAATGTTACAGGTCGGCTTTTTCCTAGTAAGAGTGCGTCACTCAATTTTACAGCGTATCCTGTGAAGGGTTTTTTACAAGATAACACCTTCCCTCAGCATGAAAGGCACTATATCAAATTGTAAATATTCATTCAATTAGTAAGAATATAAGAAATAGGAGCAGAAGTAGACCATATGGCCCCTCAAGCCTGCCCCACCATTTAATAGGATCATGGCTGATCTTCTAACCTAATTCCATTTACCTGCCCTATCCCCATATCCTTTCAGTTTTTAAAAATCTATCTAACTCAGTCTTGAATATATGTAGTATAACTTATCTGGAGGATTTGTCGGCCAGAACAATGGAAGAAACTCCTTTTTATTTTCAACTAGCTGTGCCAATTGCAGTTTTGCTTGCAACTAAAGGAACCAATATGCAATGTAGATTGACACACGGAGAGACAAACATTTCATCTTTATTTATACTCATCTGGGAGGACTCCTTTTTGGAGGACTTAGAGGGAGGTCTTGGTGCTTTAAAAATATAATTTTGTTGTTGCCACCGCTTAGCTTCCTCTGTGTTTTTTATTAATAAACCAGTCTAGAATCTTGGTGTCTTGTCTGACCCTTAACTATCCTTTTTACTCCACATCCGTGCCTTCCCGCAACACCGCCCGGCTCCGCCACTGTCTCTCACCGCAGGCCGCCACAACCCTCATACATACATTTATAACGTCCAGGCTCGACTATGCAAATTCCCTGCTTATCAGCCTCCCCCACTCCTCTCTCCATAGGCTGCAGATCATCCAGAACTCTGCAGCCCAGGTTCTCTCCTGCACCAGACTCCGAAATCCTATCACTCCCATCCTTGCCGAACTCCACTCTTATGACCATCTGCTTTGACCATCACCCCTCCATCCCCCCCTCTCCACCCTCCCTGTTCCCAACCCCCAGCTTGGGTCCGAAACACTGATTGCCCAGCGCCCTGGGACGTCCTCCCGATGTGATAGGCCTTATACCAGTGTAATTTTGTTGTTGTTGTTTTGTTCCCGCCACATGTGCTTCCAACTAAGACAAGCTGACAACATGAACAAGCAGGAAAGCGTCAGTTGGGATGTAATATAACTAGTACAATAAGCTTTGTTTAACAAGATAAGTGATCGAAGTTGGGTAATTCAGCAAACAAATTGCTGGATCTGTCCCAGCTGATTCTATCACTGTCTTCCTGGAAGTTAAAACTGAAATCAGAATCCGAGCAGCATTCTTGAGAATCGGTAATGATGCCTCTGCGATTCATCATTGCAAATTGTGTAAATCAGACCATAGGGTGCCTGCAGTTAAAGCAATACCAACATCCTAAGGGATTATTACAAACCGTGCAGATAGTTTTTAAAATGAGTTTGTTAATTTGGACAGTTGCGAACTCAATGCAAAAGTCGCTGACATAGGATAGGCATTAGGTCTAGGAAAATAACAGGCAATGCAAGGAACTCCATTCTCGCATTACATTTCCATTATACCCGGTAAACGAGTCTCCTGATGTATTTATTAGGTGTATTTTACAGAAATGCCAACATGCCCACTGAATTAATGAATGAAATTGGATTTCTGTATAGTTGGCTTTTAGTTTTCTAAGCTAAATAAAATGTCAGCCGCTTAATGTTTCTTAAAGCAGTTCACACAATAGAATAGTCTTCTCATATTTCGCTTCATTCTCACTTTGTAATCTTACCTCAGGAGCCTGCCTCCAACATTCTGGTTACTGGATTCCTTTACATTCAGACTTCTTTCTTACAAAGACATTTTATTGGTTTCTTACCTTATCTTTTTATTCGTTATGAAGGCAGAATGCTTCTATTTTAAAGTCAGCACTTCTCCTTTTAATATGAATTGAGAAATATTCCCACTGCAAATTCGAGGTTAAAGGTTACTAAGTACTTAAGAGACTACAACACATCAGAGGGAGGGGGGAGGGGAATCAGATATCACAAAGAGCAAGAATGAAGCTCAAGATTATTGTTTTGACCTGCAAGATATGGCGCTGCCTTTAAACACACTCTAGGTATTTGTTATTCTCTACAAACATACAATATTAACTGGATTTTAATGCCTCTGTGATGCTGTAAAGGTTGCCCAGTGTGGAGCTGAAAAATAATTGTGCTACACGTGACATCAGTACTCTTGTGTCGATTGTGTTAGTCTGGGGTTAAAGTGATTAAGTTTGAGTGTTATTACATTTAAATGTAAATGCATTACATGCTGGCCAATATTCCTCCCTAATCCGAAATCACTGCGAAAAAAACTATTTAATTTGATTACTCTTGTTTGTGGGAAGTTGCTGGCACAGATTGGCTGCTGCGTTTGCCTACATAACATTCTGTATTAAATGCAAGTTTATTATTTATTTCCAGATGATTATCCATAATCCCTTTATCAATTGAACCATTAATTTAGGTCCTGTCTACCTTGTGATTCAAGTGGCCATCAAGGGACAGTCATCATCCCCTCCCGGCTGCTATTTTAAACAAAGTGGCTTTTCCTCAGGGTATCAGAGTGGTGCAGTGGTAGCATTCTTGCATCTGAGTCAGAAGATTGTGGGTTCAAGTCCCACGTCGGAACTTGGAATTACGTTGTTGAAGCTGACACTCCAATGCAGCAGCCTGCGGGTGTGCTGCAATGTCGGAAGTGCCGTCCCTCAGTTGAGACATTAAACCGAGGTCTTGTCTGCGCGTTCAGGAGGACTTTAAAAGATTCCACGGCACTATTCGAAAAGAACATAAGAATCTGCTAGCTGAAAGAAGACCAAAGTCCATCTCGTTCGCTTTTCACCATCCTGGCAGTCACCTGACATGTCATGTCCCAAAGTATATATTGTATCCCGAGATATTATTTTCTAGCAGAAATCTATCTAATTAGTTCTTGAAACAAACAACATTTTCTGCTTCCGCTGACTAATTAAGGAGCCTGTTCCGTAAGTTTACTACTTTCTCACTGAAGCAGTGTTTAATATTTTGAAAATAGACATGTCACACATTCAATGCTACAGCATAAGTACAAGAAAAAGTTAACTTTTACTTGAATAAAATATTTATTGTGAACATGCATACATCAAGTGCAAGCTGCTCAAATACAACAATTTTACAACAACAACTTGCATTTATATAGTGCCAATCATGCTGGACAGCGTCTTGGAATGCTTTACATCACGTAGCGCCTTTCACATCGAAAGAATAATAATAATCCTTGGATTCGATACAGTGCTTTTCACATCTTCTGGACGTTTCAAAGCACTTCACAGAATATACTGTAAAGTGAATTGACTGTATATTTTGTGGGAGAAACATGGCAGCCAGCACACAGCAGTGCCCCACAAACAGTCGTGAATTGAGTGACCAAATTATTATTTTTTTTAGTACTTATTATCCCCAGAAAAGCAAACCGGTAATCGACTAACAACTGGGTTCCTACTTACTGCTAGGTAAACAGAGGCATGTGGAGTAAGGAAACTTGCCTAACATTTCGCCCTGCTGGGAATAGAACCCAGGTCTCTCGCTTACGAGGCGAGTGCTCCAGGACTCCACGGTGTTGATACAAGAAGTCTCAAAGTGCTTCCCAGAATTGGAATGGAGCCTGAGATGGGGTTGGGGAGAGCTTGGGTTGTGGGGGGGAGGGGGTGGAGTAAAAAAGAGGTGACCAAAAGCTTGATCGAAAAGAAAGGTCTTAAGATGGACTCTAAAGGCAGGATGGGATAACGTTAATGTAAATAATGTAAAATATAACAGCCCCGCAACAGCGTAAAGTGAAACCAGGCACAGCTAAAATGGTAGAAATCATCTTCTCTGCTGAGATGGATGCTGCCACCTGCCCAAACGCACACACACAGAATAACCTACATTTCAGAGAGCAAACCACTGAAGAGTTTTGACAAATAATGGTTAATCCAGATCTTTCCGGCTCAATTACTGGCAGGCGAGTGCTGCAAGCCCTGCACGTGGGCTGCTCAAGCACTTCAAAGAACAGAGCTTGCGAAACCAGTTTTTGGCCCCCCTACAGTAAATATTTTATGGTAAATAGCCCCATTTACTGTTTATGTTACTGCTGTTTGGTTTGTGTGCTTGGCTGGCAGTGTAAACGGGCACTTTTCATAAGAAGTCGGTTTGTTACCAATCTTGCACTTGCTGACTGGAGTTTATAAGTGAAGCCTGGCTGCTTTAGTCTGACGACAATATTTGGAGTAAATAATGACAAGAAAGCATAAAATCTTTCCAACTACGCTGAGTTCAGCTCTTAACCCTTCCAGCACAACAGATTGCCGCACATTGCTCCGTTTATAAACTGAGAGTACATAATAGAGCTGGCATTCACAGTGGGTGGAATGGTGGTGCAGGAATGTTACAACAATCCGACCATTAAAGTCATTGGCAAAAAAGAAACTAATAGATGAAAGATTTTATGTGCTATAATTACCCAACTTTTCCATAAACTATTAGAAACAGGACTTTCTCTGCTGCAAATGGCTTCAAAGTTTAATTTCCACAGAGCTGCTGAAGGTCCATTGCACACAGTTCTGACAGTCGTTGTGTTCCCTCCCTCCCCCCTCTCCCCCTTCACAGGATGCTGGCTGGAGTCCGGAGCTCTGATGAAAGCTCGCTATCTCCAAAAGCGCAGCCATCTGTCCCCACTGGAAAAGCGCAAACCCCAGGCAGATGTAACACTTGCATTCCACACCATGAGCAACAATGGCCACTCTGACAGGTGCATGAACCCACAGCAGATGACGGGCAGGTGCACTAGGCGCTGCTGAGTTACTGCAGGCTGCACCCCCAGGCAACACCTGCCACTACACACACAGGTCAGCTTCACACAGCAATCCAACGCTGCTCGACTGATAGGCTGTAGCCCCACCTCTGGAGCCTAAAGAGAAATCTACCCCGACCCTTTTCTAGCCGCTCACTATTTAAGTATTAATGCAGCACTGTTATTTTACAGATTAGGCATTTTAAAAGGATCTATTTTTCAGGTACCGACAATGACAAGCATTTAATAGAGACTGCGATACATCCAGATCTGTCCAGTAACTGTCAGTCTTTAATGAGAAACATTTCCCGAACAGCATGAAGTCCTCATTATGAATTACCCACTCTAGCATGATGGAATGTGCGCTGCTTAAATGAAAGATTTCTAACTGGCAATGACAAATTTTACTAATGAAAGGATTTGCTTTTTTCCCCTCTTAAATTAAAGAGGAGGCGGCGGTGGTGGTGGTGATGGGGGTAAATGAAGGAAGTCTACACTACAGTTGCTTTAAATGAGCAACAAACCAATTAAACACATCTTAAAAATGAAACTGACCAATAAACTGAAATGTACATTGTCTGAACTAGATACCAGATGCCTTGAACTCAATTCAGCAGCAGATTCAAAGCTACCCAATGCTGCTGTATTTTACTGTGGTGTGTGGAATGAAAGATCAGTGCACTGCCCATCTGTCCTCACTCCAGTACAAGTGTAACAGCCCTCTGGAACCAGGCCTTGTGTGAGCTTATAATGAGGTGTGTGTGTGCTGGAGTGTCTGCCTCTGTTAAACAAGGATGCAGATAGGAAAGAAAGTCAGGAATCAAAGTTCAGTCCCCTGTTACAGTGGTGGCGACACCAGAACTGCAGGCTTTATAATGAGGATCTGCTCTGCTCCTTGTACAACCAATCAGACCACTCGGTTACACCTTTTAAAAAAACACCACTTTATATCTCCTCATTCATTTTGTTTCGCTCTCTTTCTTTCCTTCCATTTCCCTCCAACCTGTCTCATTATAGAACAAAATTCAATCGTCTAAAGTGCAGGACTCCTGCTGGAATGCAGTCACAGCTGGCAGCTATTTGCAATGTTTGGTTCACTGCAGTAAATATTCACTTTATTCGTTTCAAGCCTGCACAGCCACGAGCTTGCACAGAGCAACCCTGCACAACTGGTTTTAAGAAGCGTGGACATTAGCTGTTTTGTAAGTAGGTTAGTGGCAGTGAATACTAAGCAATATGAAGCCAAAAAGGATTTGTTTGGGTGGCCGCCAGTTCATATAGCGAGAGAGACATCCTAGCCTGCATAGGCTAAAATAGGTTAACAATCCCATATAACCCAGCTCCTGCATTTTCAAAATTCCAGTAACAGCACTTTACCTAATGATTAGTGATGACAGCTGAAGCATGGTTTATTGACTCAAACACTGTTATCTACAAAAGCACGCAGAAAGCGTGCCAAATGCCTGTTTGTGACCCAGTGAATGATTGGTAAAGTATCCATGAATTCTGCAGCAAGTCTTTGTACGAACTTGGAACTGTAAACAGGGAACCAGTCTAACCAACTCCATTCTAGGAGAAACCCCTCATGCTGATAGGAAGATTCTCCCCTATCAGTGAAATCTCCAAAATGCCCCTGAAGGCAACGAGGGAATCCAGCATTGTAATGGGGGAGGATTCCCCATTCTAGGTGTACACTTCCAAAGATGGCTCAGTTGGTAGCACTCTCACCTCTGAGTCAAAACATTGTGGGTTTGAGCCCTATTTTGGGACTTTGAATTTTTAGTCTATGTCGACATTCCAGTGCAGTGAGCAAAGTTGCAGGTGCCGTCCTGATAAGATGTTAGACCACAGTCCTGTCTGCCTTTCAGATTGATGTTAAAAATCCCATGGCAATGTTAGAAAAGAAAAGGGAGTTTCTCCGGCTGTCTTGGCCAACAAACCCCCAAATAAAATTGGTCATTTATTCATGGCTTTTTTTTGGGAAATTGCTGTGCACAAATTGGCTGCTGTGTTTATCCACAAAATACACAATCATCATACTTTACAATACATTGGGTTTACACTAAAGACTATTGAACAGTAGGAAAGAAATAAAGGATAAGATTTACAGGTAAGTTAGATAGGTTTGTTTTAATAGTGTTCTAATTATGAGACTAACTATCCAAAGATTGAATGGTAAAAGGTCAATATTTATGGTAAATCTGGGGAATTATCTTTAGCACGTACCCGAGGGCAGTTTCCATCAACAATATATTATAAATCTCATAAGAAAAGATGCAGCATTAGAACTGGATAACAAACCAGGAAATATGAGTGACGTAAAGTTAGGAGAACATTTGAGAAATAGTGGCTATAAGTTAAGTAGCTTCACAGTGAGAAGAGAGAAATTGAATCAAGGATGAATGTGTTGAATTGGAAGAAAGCAAATTTCAACAGGATGAAGACAGCTCATTTAATCACTTGGAGAAATTGTTTTAATTTTCTGAACCAGTCCAGCAGTGGTAAGTGGTTGCGGAGGAAATACCTGAATGCCTGTCCAAAATATTCCATAAATCATTTGAAAAAGAAGAAAAGGAACATGATGGAAATCATGCAACATATATTTATATAGCACTTTTCACGTTGGCAGGATGTCTCAAAGTACTTAAATATATATGCCAAATAGTCTTCCTTCAGATGCAAGTAAATTTTTGAGACCGTAAGATAGATAGATTTGTGAAACTTAGAAAGCAGGGATCACACAAAGTGTAGAAATAAAGAGAATACAGTTGATAAACACACAGGTCATTTATCCATATTAGGGTCTCAAAAATATACTCACATCTGAGGGAAGGCCAATTGACATACAATCCCATCTTCTCCGTTTCCTCTTTTTCCAAAGATTTATAGCATATTGCACTACGTTGTCTAAGTCCCAGGTAGTACATTATAAGAGTCCACTGTAACCTACACACTAGTTTTAACTTCACCTCACTGTAGAATCACCTTTGCTCATTGTAATTAAAAAGGAAAATCTAGGAAATGATTCCTTTTACTGGTATCAACAGGAACATAGAGCTTTATGACTTGTTTAGTATGAGATGCACACTAAGAATGTTGGAATAAAATCTATCGCCAGAAGGTTAAGGTTGAAAAGTATACCAAAGCTATGGGTCTGTTGAAGGTCACAGTAACAAGCAAATGGGTGGAGTCAAGAACCTACCTGAATCTTAGCAAGAATGTCAGCTGGTTTATCACGGACACAGATAACCTGAGCCAGATATGCATCCACGTCCTCCAGGCAGAGTGTGGTTACCTAAAACACACAGTGAAACTCTTAGCTGCATTGCTCTTACCCGGCCTAAACTCCCACAAATATAAATCATTGGTCCAAATCACGTGGAGTGCAGGGAGCAATGTCTATTTATCTTTGTCGATGCTAAATTCGCTTCTGCCAATAAAGGTTTTTTTAAAAAATTCCAATATTTATCCTATATAACTTGACAAAATAACCCAATCATAAACAATAAAGGGATATAAAAATCACAGAATATTTACAACACAGAGAGAGGTTATTTTGCCCCTCATATCTGCACTGGTGTTATCTCCCCCACTGAAGTATCTGCTTAATCCTATTCCCCTACTCTTTCCCTGAACCCTTTAATTATTATTTTTCCTAAAGTATTTATCCATCTCTCCGTGAATTCTCCATGCAGTAACAGACTTTCTTTTTTTTACACATTTCAGTAAAAGAATTCCATAATTTAACAACCCTCTGTGAAAAGACTGAACTTTCATAAACTCCCTCTTTTTCCTTCTGGTAAAAATCCACAATTTACATCCTTATACAGACTCAACTGGTGTAATAAACATCTCTCCATTTACCCGCTAACACCATTCATAATTTTGAAAACTTCTCTTAGATGCTCCCTCCTCTTTAAACTCCGCTGCTCGAGCGAAAACAGTCCCAACTTTTCAAATGCTCTCCTCATAACCAGAACCTCTCATTCTGGTTAACTTGTTTGTGAAGTAAACCATGAATGAAACCATGCAAAGAAAAATATTAAAACCAAAGAGCTTACAGTCCTGTTAAAGGGAAGGGCAGCTCAGATGGCAAACTAATATTCCCATTTACAAGACTTCTCTGCGGAGGTGTCAATGTTATGAATATAGATGTCATTTGCAAGTGTGGAAACAGCCTCTGTGGGGTCAATCATGACACTGACTTAACTTGGCCTAGCTCAGCTCGAGTTAAGCCAGTATCTCCTCAACATAGGCCTTTCTCAGCATTTGAAAATGATCCCTGCGGATCAGGAATCTGAAAGGGAGCGCTGTCCAGAGCATTTCAGTCGAGTATGGAAACGGAAAGGTTTTACAATACCCTTTACAAAATTCCTTAAATAAAGAACACAATACGTTTGAATACTGCAGTTCTGACCCCAATGTCAGCAGGTCAAAATTAAATCTAGAAGCATACTCAAAAGGAGAAAAAGTTGCATTCAACATACCTTCCCATTAGTTATCTGCAGGAGCGCACACTGCTATGTTTGCTCTGGAACACTCTTCTACTATCCCTCTGCCTTGCCCCTTCCTTCCCCATTTTCAGGTCATGCCTGAATACCTTGCTATTTGACCGTGCCTACGGTCACCTCCCCCCGGCTTAGAATCGTGCTCCGCCAATGTCAAGTTCTCTGGGACGCTACCCTGGGGCGCTATATAAATGCAAGTTGTTGTTGTTTACCTGTAACGTAATATAGATCAGGAGGCAGCAGGCAGCGGCTAGAGGAGGCTCTAGAACAGCCATTTCTTCAGCAAACTCCTGTAAACCAAAGCATGCGAGAAACATGGAAAAACGCAGCTTCTCAACCTCTGGCCCTTCTGTCAACCACAAGGTTTGCAAGTCTGGAGTTCCTCCTGTGAAGAATAATAACAACTAAAAATAATCCTTGCATTTGAAATAGAGCTTTATCACATCGTTGAGATTTTTCTCAAAGCAATTCACAAGATGTTTACTGAGGAAACAATTTGGTTCAGTCCACTAGGTGTCCAAAAGATCCTGACAAACGGCAGTAAAAGGCTACAATTTTTGAGGCAGAAGACAAATGTATCCAAGCTACACGTACGTGGTATTGAGAACAATGATGGGAGGATTCCCACCCCCAACCTCGGAGGACATCTGAGTAATTATTTACTTCAGTAATTTCAGTAATTTCTAAAATTAAATCGTTCCTGACACTCTTCTATCCACTTCTGGAATTCAGTCATACACACCTCACTAAACAACGTGGGCTGGGTGAGCTGAAATAATATCTCCAAATTCAAAGTAAAGATACTTATAAGAAATAGTTTAGCTCCTAAAGAGTTTAGTGGAAATTCAAATTACATTTTGTAACAAAAAGAGCAAAGTATGGGGGCAGATGTCAGCACTTGCTGACACCTCCCCTTTTAATGATCTCAGCATTGAATAAAATAACTAACATTTGTATGCATCTTACCATGTCCAAATATCTTAAATTACTTTACAAAGCACTTACAATTACTATCAAGTGTAGGGACTATGAATTTGTAGCTAAACATGGCAGTCATTTTGAACTCAGTGAGTTGAACAGGTATCCAGCACTAAGTAATTGTTGGCTATACTTTGATTTAGGGACTTTGTTGAAGGGGGAAAAAAGCTGCTTAGCAAAGATGTGTCAAAACACAAAATATGATGTGAGGGAGGTTACCTGGCAGCTCTGGTGCTAAGGCTGGGACAAGATCTGGGTGCTGGAGTGAGTTACCGGGGTAGACAAACCATTCCTTTACAGTAGGACACGATCTCGCTGCACCAGATTGGACACCTAGGCATGAAGAATTTCAAACTGGATTACGAGCTCAAACAGGATACACTATTTTATTAATCATATGGTACTGAACATAACACAGACCTAATAACAACAATAGTAAACCTTGCATTTGATACAGCACCTTTCATGTCGGTAGCATGTCTCAAAAGAGCTTCACAGGACCTGGCACTATTTCATCCTGTATTTCATCCCTGCATGCCAAGCACAAACCTCAGCCACTACCCTACCAGGGAATTGGTGAGACATTACTCTGAAATGGTTATTCTTTTTAAAGCTACTAAGGAATACAATTTCACTTTTATAGTAATTTAACTCAAATTGGGAGTTTATTTACTGCCAGTTCTGGATGTCACTCGTAATGATTCAGTATCAAACCCAATATTTACATGAATCAGGGAGGCTATAATGATTTGTTTTAAAAAATTAGCTTTTGATGAGAAGAACAAAACCCTAGTTCAAAGGGCCATTAATACCCATATTTGGAACTCAAATTAAGCATGGAAAATAGAAAGTGGCACATTTGAGTGCAATACTGTAGTAAGTGGTTTTTATTTAGTAAGTGGTTCCTGTCAATGGCTGCAATTATCTTGCAGTAAGGTTAAATATCGAATTGTGAGATTCGCAAACAGGGAGTTGTGAATCCTAACCGAGCAAAATCTGAAAAGTAAACCAACAAGCACATTTTAAATAACCCCCTGAATTCAGAGGAAAGAAAGAATATATTCATGTTCCCATCCCAGGATTGCTCTGTTCTTTTCCATCCTGTCTTGTCAGTTTTAAATCTAGTCCTAAAGCCGCTGATAGCTGTTCCGTCAGCTACCTGTGCAATCACTCAGCTCCCTGTTCAATCAATCAGTTCCCTGNTTTTTTCCCATTTGCTGTGTTTAATCAGTGAATCAAATTTGCCATAAAGAAGCCTGATATTCGTTCACTACTCATTTGGTAGAAAATCTGATTCCTTTTGAAATGTCAAGATTGTTTGCAAAAAAGGTAACTGTGCAAGAGAAAAGCTGCAGTAGCAAGCAGGTCAAAGGGATACAATGCATGCAGTCTCCTTAGATGATGATTTCCAATATAGGAAGGCTGCTGGGTAAAGACCTAGCAACAAGAGGAAGTTCAATCAGGGAGAATGAATGAAGAACAGCTCTATATCAATTCCATCTCATTTGAAATTTCCTTCATAGCTCCTTGCACTGCAGCATCTCATCAAAAGAGAAATAAAAAGATCATTGCTAAAGCTGTTGATCTTTTCTTTATCATGATGGTGCACTTGCTCTTTAAACTACCATACATGCGTATTGTAACCTTCAATTATAATAATCCTTGCATTGTATATGCAGTTGGAACCATACATTTAAATGACTTATGTGAAGTATGAGTTATGTCAAACTTGCATAGAATATAAACTCTTGAACGGGACTTGGGCAAATGTACGACTTCTGCGATTATACGATTTATACAGATCTGACCTAAGCAAGTTTTACTGTTGCACCTTATTGTGTCATTGAAAATTCTCAAAGCTTCACAGGATTTTACTGTGAAATGTAGTCTGTATATTTATGGGCAGATGGGGGGAGGGGGGAGCTAATTTGCACACAGCCTTGAAGCGAATGGTCAATTTTTTCTGGGGGATTGTTGACCAGGACGCCAGTTGGAAGAGTTTGAACATTTATAGTTATTCTTACTTGGTTTGGCTTCTAGAAGAACTCCATAGATGGACTGTCGAACGGGTCGATAAACGATAGCCTGTCCTGAAAGTTCTGTGTCCGAATCATCTTCCAGTGTGTTGCTACAATAAACCTCTCCAGCACTCAGGACGTTGTAAACCATGAAGCTTTCTGCTCTGATGTGCTGATCCCTTGAAATCTTCTCAAATAATAATAAGAAAAGAGTTTTAATCAGAGCACTTAACAGTAATGCTGGTATTTGTGAAGTATTGCCCGAACGTAGAAAATGCAAGATATTATACAACAAATGGATTTGAATTGAATCAAGGAGACTTAGGAGTAATAGCGGATTCATAGAAATTACAGCAATCTCTTTTGTCCATGTCCATTGGGAATGTAATACAGTATTTCCATATTCCACATCAATTATTTTAGTTAATGGCCAATCTTGTGATTTTTTTGCCAAAAAGTGGACTGTATTATTGTAGACCCACCAAGAAGTAGGTTGCATCTGCCCAAAGAGTTTAAGTTTGTACTGATAAGAGTGGAGGAGAGACTTTCACCTTATCAGTTTGACTAAGAAATAAATCCAATTCACAATGGTTAAATGACAGAATGCTAACCAACTAAGAAATACAAACCCCAAATAAACACTTTCATACTAAGTTGGTTTGAACTATACATGATTTGCTGCTCGACTGGGAATTTTTGTATGCCCACATAATAAACATATTTTTTAATTTTATTATACTATTATTTTATGTCAGCGATGTCAGCAAAGTTTACAATCTACACTTTTAACCAGTAGTTATACACAACTGCATATTATAATATAAAATATTGTCAAATACAACACCTGCAAAATTTGCAGGTCAGGGTACGTGGCACTTTCTGTCGTTGAAGGTTTTTTGCTATGAGGAAGCCACGGTGAGTATTGTTCAGGCAGCAAGTATGATTCCACTCCCATTTCTAACAAGTTTTCATCTGAGCGGCACTGCAGGCTTCTCTGCACCTCTCTCAGCCCGTCTTGTGAACGGGAGAAGCCAGATAAGAAGTGCGCCACTACTGAGACCACTTCCTGCTTTCGGGTTGGGCTACTTGATAAGTGTCTGGCCAAGCATTCGCGTTTGAATCTTTCCAGCATGTTTTCTGGCACCACATCATTGCCAAGGAGACATGCCAAAACTGGCAAGTCGGTCACATGCAGTCCAAGAACCTGACAGAGCTGTTCACGGGAGTACATAATAGTGACCATATTGTCCAAATGGAGTTTGTTTATCGAAAGGTAAGGTGCAGTGTCATAAACAAGGTAATCAGTGTCCTGTCCCAGGATTGCCATGCAATCTTCTGACCTAGCGTAGCTGGCTATTTCGTAATCTGCCTCTTGCAGGGAGCATATTGTTTCTAAACCAATCGACTTCAAAGCAAAACGAGTGAATGTGGCCAGTCCAGATGGAATGAAGAACATTTCTCTTCCAGGCTGACAAGCCTTTGCTTTTATACACTGAAAGATTCTTGCTATCTCTCGGTTGTTCTTCAGTCTGCGTTTGACCCATTCATGCCTTTTCTTCTGCTCTATCACACCATCAAAGAAAAACACCAGTCTAATGCCAGCTCCTGCAAAAGCATCCACGAATGCCTTTAGTCTCTTCAGGTATTCACGCCATTGGCCACCATGGACCCATGACTCTGAGTTGTACCAATATCGGAGACATGACATTGCATCCACTACCACAGCAGGTGACCGGCCGTGATGGGTGCTTTGATAACTCTCGGCCATCTGTTTCAGGTTTACCTGGACGCACACAGCTGGGCAGGCATGATCCACAAAACTCTGCAGACCTCTCACACCCATCACTGCTACTGAGACACTAATTCTAGCAAATCACAGAAAAGCTGAAACAAAGAAAATATCAAAACACACTATGGTTATTTCATGTAGCAACAATACAAGCAGCGTCTTCCAAATAATAATTACTATATAGTATAACTATTATTTTAAAAAATAGAGTGCTTATACAGTATGTTGAAATTTTAAGACCTCACCAATGAATAGGCCAAGCCAAATACTTTGGTTTTCTATTGATCCAGTTTAGAAAGCCAGAATTAATTCAGACAACCTGGAATTACACAACATGCAACTGGGATTCATCCATTGGAAACTGTTAACTTCCATTAAAAGATGTATGAATCACTAGTAACTTTAATAGTATATGTCCAGCTAGGACTACTCTACTGGCTAGGACTTAGGCTCACAGAGTAGAAAACATGTCCACACCAAGTCTCATCAAATCAGAAATGCTGGACAACCATCAATGGTGGTTTGGCCTGTGGTCCTGTGTGGAACCAGTTCAGAGGTCCTACTTATCTCTCACAAATAGGATATCTTCAAATCATGATATTGATATTGTCAACTCCACAAACATCATTTCCTTATTTTAAAGCAGAAGAAACAACCACTTGCACTTATATGGAGTCCTGTAGCTCAGTGGTTAGAGCACTCGCCTCACAAGCGAGAGACCTGGGTTTGATTCCTGGCAGTGCAAAACCTTGGGAAAGTTTCCTTACTCCACACGCCTGATAATATAATAATAATAATAATAATCCTTGCATTTGATATAGTGCTTTTCACGTCGGGAGGACGTCCCAAAGCGCTTCACAGAACACACTGTAAAGTGAATTGACTGTATATATGTGGGCGAACGCGGCAGCCAATTGCGCACAGCAATGTCCCACAAACAGTCGTAGATTGAAAATGACCCAATTTATTATTGTTTTTGGTTTTGGAGGGATTATTATTAGGCTCTGTGTGGAGTAAGGAAACTTGCCCAAGGTTTCGCCCTCTGCCTGGAATTGAACTCAGGTCTCTCACTTGCAAAGCGAGTGCTCTAACCACTGAGCTACAGGACTCCACAATAATCCCTCATAGAAAAAAAACACAATAATAATTTGGTCATTCAATCCACGACTGTTTTTGGGACATTGCTGTACACATTGACTGCCATGTTTCGCCCACAAAATATACAGTCAATTCACTTTACTATATATTCTGTGAAGTGCTTTGAGACGTCTAGAAGACTTGAAAAGTGCTATATGAAGTGGAAGTATTATTATTATTACATACTTCTCTTCATATTGGTTCACGTCTCAGAGATAGTACAGTTGAACACCAAACAGAGGGTGGGGGGAGGGAAGAGAGTGGAGGGTCAGAGGAGGTCAAAGAGGTAAATTTTACGTTGGTATTTGAAGACAGATAGAGAGGGGATGATCAGGAAGAACAACAGCTTGCATTTATGCAGAATAGTGTCTCAGTGCACTGTTAGGAAAGATAGAGGAAGGGAGTTCCAGACATTAGGGATGTAGAATTTCAAAAGAAATTTGTGCAGAAGTAATGTAATCTTATGAAATATAAATACATACAATGATAGGAAAAGAGATCAATCCTAGAGAATTGTCTTGTGTTGACGTAGGCTTTCATAAATACTTCTGTGTTTCCACCAGAGTAGATGTCTGAGTAGACATGGTTATTCTTAGTGGTTAGTTTTATTGGTGATGCCCATTTCCATGGATTTCTTTCATAGAACTTTCACAAACATTGGCATGAAAGCTGAAACATGATATCTGATTTATGTGAGAAACACACAACTTAAACCCAAATATACACAGTGATACATTTTTAATAATCCACTTTTCTTTTCAAACTGAAAAAAACCTTTAAGAACCCAACCTCACTAGCTATTTCTGGAATACCAGATACACATAATGTTATTGTGAGCTGCAAAGCAGCAGTGCTGATAGTCCATAAACCTGGGTTGGCTTAGAATTATTGCCTTTATAATACAGAAATCTGTTCCTCTATGTATCTATCATTTCTACGACATTCTTATCTCATAGAATCCAATCAACATTATCTGACTTTTTATAAACCTGAGCGGACTTGGAATTATTCGCTATATAATTAGTAAGCATGCTTGAATTGCTTCATTTATAAATCGCTTCCTCTAGAACAGACTCCACTGTTTTCCTGCCACAGATGTCCAGTTTTAACAGCCTGCAATTCCCAAGCTCACCCTTCTGACCTTATTGAAAAATTGGCACATTAGCTACTTTCAAATAATCTGGCACTACCACTGTATTTAATGGGCTGTGAAAAGTTTCAGCTACTTCTCTCCTATTCCTGTCCTCACTTTTAAGCATGCTTTGATGCATTCCATCTGGTCTTGTCTGCTGAGACGCCGTCCGGCGTGGAGGGCGCTATATAAATCCAAGTTGTTGTTGTTATATTCAAGCAGTCCAATGTGCTCTATTTTCCTCCTTAAATTATTTTAGGTCTCCTATTGTTCCAGGAAAAAAAAGCTTATATTTTCTAAAGCTAAAATTAAATAAAACTAAAGTGAAGTTTCTTTCATATTGTTTCCCCTGGCTAATGCCTAGTCTCCAGGACGGCGTACAGTACCAGACTGTAAGATACCTCATTCTGGAACAGCAACAGCCTACCTCAGAGGATAGCCACAGGTCACTCACAATAAATGTTTATGAAACCCATGCAAACTTAACCTCTGAATCCTTCATTTTTATACCATCAGACAACACCCAAATACAGCATGACTGGGAAATCTGCAATGGCAGATCTTCCATATGATCCCCATCCCAAAGGCTTACTGTGGAGTTGATCTGGAAAACAAAGGTGTCAAATATACTTAGTAACCTGGGCAGTTCACATGGCAGAGTGTGAATAATCTTGCCATTGCCTGGGACGTTTCTCTCAAAGTCCAGGAACTTATCACATGGATAAACAGGGCTTGTTGGTGAAGTACACGTTGCAATGCTCCTTCCCCAATCCGGGTTTGGGGCAGGTTCGGATTTGATGAAAGGAGCTGTCTAGGTGCTGAAGTTGTTTCACCACAATATTCACTGGTCAGTCTTAGATTTTGCAATATTGATCAATGGCAGCGCAATTGAGACTGTACTTTTTAAAAGCTTTTTTTTTGGAAACAAAAACACTTCCTTTTAGTTCTTTATGGTTCCTATGGTTGTGCTGCATTCTGGCAGTATTGTACTTTACAACAGAATACACCAAACTATTTTGATCACCAGTTTGACCATACACCCGAAGCCTGGACATGCACTTTTCCAGTGATTACAGTTTATTAGGCTGCATTTGTAAACATTATCCATAGCAGGACAACTTCTATAGATTTCACACAGTAGTAAACGGTCGATTTTGTTTTAATGTTTTCCCATTTTCTATGCATACAGTGTGGGTTTTCCTAATTACTTTATTTAAACACCATCATGAATTTGGAAACTTCATATTCTTCAACTACCATTCTGTAACCTCACTCACTCCCCTTCAATTCCAAACACATGACTGTTCACTATTGTGCTACTTTGTCAAACATATGCAGTTTCTTTCCATTTGAAGTTTGCAGTAACTCTCACAATCAACATTGTAGCTCACGCCTAATAATAATCCCTCCAAAACAAAACAATAATAAATTGGTTATTTTCAATCCACGACTGTTTGTGGGACATTGCTGTGCGCAATTGGCTGCCGCGTTTCACCCACAAATATACAGTCAATTCACTTTACAGACTATTCTGTGAAGCGCTTTGAGACGTATAGAAGACGTGAAAAGCGCTATATCAAACGCAAGGATTATTATTATTATTATTATTACCATCACCAACTACTCCCACTGCTACCTCCACTATTACAGCACTATTTTAAATTGAAATTAATCTGAACCTCTAGCAGAAACCGTAACAACCAAAATAATTGCCAACACGTGATTGTGAATTACTGTCTGAAAGGTAGGGTTCCAAGCCATTTTTTTTCCAAATGCATATGTTATGTGAAACCAGCAGCACTAACGGATGATGACAGATGTTTCATCAATAAATTCTACAAGAAGAGTCAGAACCTGCTCCCATCCCAAAACTGCTGAAACAGCCAACTCTTAGAAGATTTATAAACAATGAAAATCTATGTGTTGTTTAAAATTAGGCCCCTGGGTTCAAGCACTGCGAAACGTTATCCTATGTGAAGGGCACTATATAAATGCAAGTTGTTGTTACAACTTCTAATATCTAGAAGATTTTCAGTTTATGATAAAATCATATAGACTTGATAATCTTTCCCCGTTTAAAAAAATTATCACATCCCACTTTACTTAAAATCCCCTAGGGTGGAACATAAAAGAAGTGGAGTCCTGTAGCTCAGTGGTTAGAGCACTCGCTTTGCAAGCGAGAGACCCGAGTTCAATTCCAGGCAGAGGGCGAAACCTTGGGCAAGTTTTCTTACGCCACACAGAGCCTAATAATAATCCCTCCAAAACCAAAAAACAATAATAAATTGGTCATTTTTAATCCATGACTGTTTGTGGGACACTGCTGTGCGCAACTGGCTGCCACGTTCGCCCACAAATATACAGTCAATTCACTTTACAGTATATTCTGTGAAGCGCTTTGGGACGTCCTCCCGATGTGAAAAGCGCTATATCAAATGCGAGGATTATTATTAAGGCTGGTCTTGAACTTTAGGAACAACTGAGAGGCATGCATTCTGAAGATACAACAGATCCTAAATGCCTGAAGTCCGCATTAATATTGGCTTTCGAACATCATCTCATCTTGTCTGACGAACAACAAGTGCTCACTAAACCTGTACTAAGGTGCATTGGGAAATACTCAAGACTTTTACATTCCCATAAATTGTCATAACATCAACGTTCTTAGCTCCATTTCAAAAGAATTTTAAGGTGACATTGCCCACAAACACATTTTTAAGCATCATTTACAGTATATACTGTAAAGTGCTTTGAGTCTTCTCAACGACATGATTAGGTGCTATATGTACCAATTACAAGAATTTTTTTTCCACTTGCTCTCATTGCTTTTCTCCTCCCTGTACGTTATCCTCGGCAAGGATAAAGCAGATGACTTGTATCATGGAATCTGCCAACATAACTCAATAGAAGGTATAATGGTACACCACCATCCGATAGTACCGAAAAATTCAACAGGAGGAATGCCCGGATCCGCCTGGCTAATGATGGAACTAGCCATATGGAAAACAGTAGTTGGGCCTCTTACTAAATCACTTCCTCTTACTGACTATTTGTGGAATATTACTGGGTGTGAATTGGCTGCTGTGTTCACCCGCAAAACACACAGTAATTGCACTTTATAGCGCTTTAGGATGTACTACCAACATGAAAGGTGCTATACCAAATGTAACAACAATTACTTGATATATAGTGCTCTTCATGTTGGGCAATGCTTGAAGCGCTTAACAGTGGCAAAGCTGACACCGAGGCAGGGAGAGAGGGGAGGTAATTGCCGGTATGGTCAAAGAGGAATGTCTTCAGGTGTGATCTGAAGACTGGTAAGGAGGGGGCAGGCAGAGGGATTGAGATTGAGTTCCAGAGTCTTGTGGTGTAGTGGTTGAAAGCAAGGCCACTGATGGTGGAGTGGAGGGGTGATCAATGTGCAGGAGGTTGGAGTCAGCTGAGCGACTGAGCAAAGTGTGTGTGTGGGGGGGGTAGAGGATTGGGGTGTAAGGGTGTAAGATTATTACAACTGATCTGTGAACATGTCACTTCTCACAGACATCTTTCAAGTTGAAAACTGCTGCTACTTACCAGAACTAGTAAACCTAACGTGCTGTAAAGTTTACAATAAGGTAATCCACTTTATCACTGCGTCGGGTCTTTTTGTTACACTTTTTGCAGAGATTAACTTGAACTGCAACCTTTCCTTTGCAAACGGTGCAGAACTGTGCTCCATACGACCAGCGGCGTAGCGATGGGCACCAAAATACGTGTTGCAAACAAAACACGGGGCCTTAAGTTAAAATTGCAGGCACCGAAAAGTTAAAAAAAAAACTCGATTGCTTTTGAAAAATATTAATCTTTCAATAACGTAACATGGCACTGGCGCACTTAACCGGACTTACGCAACTTGGGACCACCCTGCGGGTTTGGGTTTGGGCTCCAAGGATGAGCGAGACGGGCCGGTAAACCTACAACAAGGTGTCGTATTACTGTAAACCCTCCTGACTTAGTCAGCAGCGTCTCCTCAGGGCAGGTTCTGTCCACGGTAACTCTGCTTACATCATAGCAGGAGTTTATTTACTATATGCGGAGGTGTGAGCAGGACATGACCAGAAATTTGTACCCAACCCAACCTTCTGATCCCAAGCCCCACTCCTCCCTCAACCACATGGAGCTGCTGCCATGGATGCCCCCCCCTCTAACCCCCCCCTCCAACCCCCCCCCCAGCACTGGGCCTGAGGTACAGTCACTTGGTGCACAACCATCCATCCCATCCGCAGCAGCTTTTAAGACTGAGGAACAGGAAATGTGCCCCTGACACTCCCACAGGGGGGACACGGGGAGAATAATAATAATAATAATAATAATAATAATCACAGTGACAAACAACAGAGCAAATCCGCAGCGCCTCCACATCACAACCAAATAACCAGCAGCTGCGAGAGGATCAATTCCCCCCCACACTCCCTCCCTCCCCCCCTCCCTCTCTGCCCCCCCAACGAGCTGCCGGCGGCCCCGGGGCACTGCCCAACTCCAGGTCGGGGATGCGCCGCGGCCTCTCGTCTCGTCTCGTCTCTCGGTGTAGGATGAGAAGCGGCTCTGGACGCTCGGTGGCTGAGGTGACCCTCCTCCTCCTCCTCAGCCCCCGGCGCCAGCGCCGCTCTCGGGGCTGCGGGGCGAGGAACTCACGTCAAATGGCGGCGGAGGCCCCGACCGCGGCTCTGCCCCGGGCTGGCGTCTGCGTCCGGCCCGCGGGCCAGCGCTGGCAGCATCGCCGCCGGGTGTAGCCCAAAGTGGGGGGGGGGCACCAAGCAATAGCCCAAAAACCAGCCCAAATCAGAGGCCCTGCCGCCCCGGGTTGAGGTTTTCTAACTGCTTTTCAAGCTGCGTGAGGGAAAACAAGAAAAGGGTCTTCAAAAGGGGGAGGAAAACTACTCACGGTTTTGCAGATTTAAATTATTTTTTCTCAAAGATTGGGGCACCCGCCGCAAAGCCGTTTCACCCCCTCCCCCCCCCCCACCGCGGGGCCGGGCGGCACAAAACCCGCCCAATTGGGCGTGAACCCGCCCAATCAGACCACATCGCCCCGGGGGAGGGGTGTTGGGGGTGGAGGGGGGGGGGGGTGGAGTGAGCGGCGCCCCCTGCCGGCGCCTGACCGCTCCTCACTCTGACACACTACACGCTGAGGACCACTCACTCACTCACTCCACATAACAGCAACAGGGCGTCAAAAATTCCACTTGGTTTCCTGCTTTTACTCTGTTCTCTTAGGCTTTCAGGAGCGTCCAGAATTTGGCAAATCCTCAAATGCCGCCTTGATTTTTCAACGTCTTTTTGTCCGAACCAGTTTATTAATAATAATCCTTGCATTTGACAAAGCGCCTTATCGAGTCGTTGAGATGTCTCAAAATGCTTCACAGGACATACTGTAAAGTGGATTGACTGTGTATTTTGTGGGTGAAACATGGCATTTACATTTTATACAGTGTTCATACATACATTTAGCAACCAGAGGAGCATCCCAAAGTACTCAACTATAGCTGGCTGGGTACCCAAGCTGGGGGAACAGGGGACGTGTGTATGTTTCTACATTAAAACCAACCTTGAAGTTAAGACTACATTGAACGATTCACCTGATTCTGGAAGCTCTAGAATACTAATAAAGTAAAGGCCTTCAGATTAGATGTCAAATCGAGGCCCTGTCTGCTTGTTCAGGTGGATGTCAAAGATCTTATGGTACTATTCGAAAAGAGAAGGGAGTTTCTTCTGGTGTCCTGGCCAACAATGACCTAGGGAAACCTGAACATTCGCCTACTTCATGGCTGTTTATGAGATATTGCGTGTACAAATAGGCTGCCTCGATCACCTGGAAAATACACAATCACTACACTTTACTGTAAATCCTGTTAAGCGTTTTGAGACATCCTCCTGATGTGAAAAGCACTTTAACAAATTTTGGCTGATGGTCTGGGTTTGATGTTCAAGTGTGAAAATGCATCAAAATTGGTGGCTATTTTTAGAACTGAGTTCATGAAGATTTGCATGTGTTTTAAAAGCGTGGCACAGAAAATTACATTCAGTCTTAACGCCAGGTTTCCACAATTTTTGAAAGAACCACGAAAAACCAGTTTACAAATTGATACTGAATTTAAGAATTTTCCAAAATTCAGCAAAGTGTCTTTCACAAAATCACATTGTGTGATGTATCAACACTCTTCACAAAATATACTGTGAAGTCTTTGATTGAATAAATACTGTTTTTACAGGATATTTTAATCAAAAGATAGTGTCTTAATATAAGTTGTGTCCGGATAATTTAGATTGCATGAATTTAATCTAGACATCCCTCGTCCATATTGGGTGAAAGTTTGATTATTCCAATGTTCTGCTCACTGGACTCCCTAGTTCCATACACCACCCAGAATCCTGCAGCCCAAATCCTCTCCCATATCTGGCTCCATGAGCCTTTCACCACCATCCTCACTTGGCTCTATTGGCTCCCATTCTCACAGTAGATCGAATTCAGGACCTCTGACTTCACATTCAAATTCCTCCATGGCCTTGCCACATCCTACCCATGCGACCTCCTATAACTCTATTGATTTAGCAGCTCATCTAACAGCAGCCTTCCTTCATGTCCCCTGCCTGTTCTGCCCCACTCTTATTGAGCGAGCTTTAGGCCTTCTGCCCTCCCGCCCCCCTCAAACTTCCTCCATCTCACGCTTGCCTTCTCCCTCACCATCTTTAACGTCTGCCTTCAGACCAATCTTTTCAACCGTGTATCAGTTTGTAACTTTGATGTTGGAGAAATTTCTGAAAGATATTATGGCACAATGTGGATTTTATGTGTAATATTGGCAATCCAGGTCAGTTCTGCTGCGTTGTTGGAGATGCCATGTCCTGTTCTTCGGTGGACTTTGAAAATAATATGACATTATTCAAAATGAGTTTCTTCTTGTGCAATGGAAAGTAAATCTCCAAATGAATTAATCATTTCACTAGATAGCTGTTTGGGAGACCTTATCTGTGTATTTACTAATATCAGTCACTGCACTTGACAGTAAATACCAGTAAACACTCCAGGCCATTTGTGTGAAACACTCCAAGACTATAAAAATGCAACTCCCTTTTTCAGCCTATGTTTTCATTGTGCACTGTTAACAGTGCTTATTGCAGAATCAATTGTTGGGGTTTCAAAATGGAATAGATAGATGTTTAGGAATTAAGAGATCGAGAAATTGGATTAAAAATATAAAGAGCTGCCATAATCTAATAAAGTGACGGAACCAGTTTGACAAACTGAATTATCTACTCCTGTTGTTATATACTTATTACAGAATTTTTACTTTTCTAAAAATGCAGGTAGGAGAAAATCTGTCATCATTTTGACATTAAAAAAGGTTTCAACTGATAGCTATCTGTTCAGTACCTTACAAAGTTGAATTTGAACAATAGGCATTTACTTCAATGAATCAGAGCAGCACACAGCTCACCACTGCGACACCTTCCCCTTGGGAAGAATCATGAAATGAATGCTTAGCCACACTTTCTTAAGTTCAGTATTACCTTTTCTGGAAATGGCAGGACGCAAGATAAATAGAACCAAGACTATGATGATCCCACTCTATATCCATTCATTGCTGATGTCCAAGGGACACAAGGCAATATCTCTTGCTCCTTTAATTAAGCAGAAGAGGAATTCAAAATGATGATGATAAATGCTTTAAACTTATAAATAATAGTATTATTAATTAACAATAACAAATTACACTTGGTACTTCATGGTGGAAAAATGTCCAAGGGTGCTGGAACCCCATTAAAAAGAAAATAAAACCAGATAAGGCGCTTTATTGGGACAAAGTAAAATAAAACTTTATTCTCTGCCCAACCTGCTTTATACCTGAACTGTATAGTGGGTGAAGGGAATACAGCAGAGAAGAAACAAATACTTATATTCACCATATATATTGCATAAATGTGGATTCAAAAAGGTCTCATATCTTGCATTTTTACTGTGGGATAAAATGGAATTGATCAGAGTAATCATGCAGCCTGGTTCAGTTGGTAGTACTCTTGCCTTTGACTCACAAGATCATATGTTTAAACTCCACATCGGGACTTTGAACTCCAAGTCTAGGCTGACACTCCAGTGCGAGACTCCATTGTCAGAGTTGCGATCCTTTGGTTAAGATGTTAAACCAAGATCCTGTCTGCCTGTTTAGGTGGTTGTTAAAGATCCCATGGCACTATTTGAAAACAGAAAGAAATTTCTCCTAGTATCCTGGTCAACAATTGCCCAAATAAAATTAGTCATTCACTTCAAGGCTGTTTGTGGGACATTGTTGTGCGCACATTGGCTACTATATTCACCTACAAACACACAGTTAAATCTTGTGAAGCACTTTGAGACATCTCAAAGATATGCCCACAAAATACAGGCAAACTATTTTACAATATATCCTGCGAAGCGCCTTGAGACGTCTCTACGACTTGATAAGGCACTGTATCAAATGCAAGAATTATTGTTATGTGATTAAGGCGCTATATTGAATGCAAGGAATATTTTTAGATACTTATTCCCTTTAAAGTTAGTAATATTACATTTCCAAAAGACAGTTTGAGATAACTGAAAGGTGGCAAATGAGTTGATTCTTTAAAAAATAAATACCACCAAATCAGCTACTGAACAGAAATCTGAGGCTGAAACCACAGCCATACTACTTATTGTTATTATTCCAATTCAAACAGGTACTAGAGTGATTGTCAAACTTCAAAGATAACCCTGGAAAAATACAAATGGGAAAAGGGAGATCAACCCAATCAAGCTTAAAACACTAATTTAGACCAAACTGCCCCAAAGGGACTTCATAACCCAGTGATTAGACGTTCCTGGGGTGAGTGCACAACAGGTGTCTACATTACTGAGGATATAATTAAAACAGACAATGAGGCTCCACTGTGGGCAACCCACAAACCATAATTGAAGGGACAGTAATGAGGAGTAATACCTGGGAATGAGCAGGTGTGGAAGTAACTGGTGAACTTATTTTTAAATAAAAAATTCCCGATTCATAAGCAGATGGTCAGAACAAATGTGAACTTCAACCCGTCAATTTTTCTAACATCCGCAGATTGGATTATTCTTATAATTACCATTCTAAATTACCAAAACATGGATATAAATAACATTATGACATCATGGTTGATATACAATATAATTCACATGTATACAGTGCCTTTTATATCGGGAGGTTATAAAACACTTGACGCTGTTGGGGGTGAGAGCCGAAGGGGTGGGCGAACTTACAAAAGAATAACAATAAAACAATGCATCTATTCTGAACTGGTAAAAGATATGGATCTGAACTGAGAAAGCAAGATTGTGGGAAGGGGATTAAATAATAAAAACATACACAGAAGTGAACATAGTGAAACTCTATATCTTGAGTGCTGGGATCAATTTGAGATGATTGTAGTTTCAAATCCTGTATACTATGTATCAAACCTTATCCAGACTGTGGAAACTAAATTGATGCCCCACAATAACCATCAAATCTCACCCACAAAATACACAGTCATATCCCTTTACCCGTGAAGAATTTTGAGATGTCTCAAAAATGTGATAAGGCACTATATCAAATGCAACGATCATTATTATTATTATTAACTTGGAAGGTAAATGGGGGCAGGGACTCTTACCATTCAGCTCCAGTTAACCTTGGAAGCCAAAGCTTTAATGGGTAGGGTGGTACTAG